GTACATGCGTATTATGTTTTAGAACTGTTAAATAAAACCAACTTTCTCACATGGCAGGATTCTATATAAAGACTCCTAAATAAGTTGAGAGGTTTTTAAAAAAATGATTTAAATAATAATTATGATAGCAAGTTACTGAACCAATCTTTGAATTAAGACTGCATGATCTCATTTTCCCTCAAAATACCTCAGTTCTTTAGGTAATATTACCATCCTCATTGATATTTGATGTTCTGAAAAATTACAGTACCTACCCAAGGTTGTATAATCAATGCAGGAACACTGAGCTCTGATACCAAGGTGGAAGGCCCCAGTTCTTAATCACTGTACTAACCTGCCTTTTACACTATTTAAATAAGTGTTTAGAAAGAAGACTTTTAAGATTTGGCTTTCCAAATGCTTAAAAACTATACTTAATCTTATAAAAAAAAAAATTTTAGAATATTTTAAGCCATTTTAAGCACCTGCATTGATTATAACAGATACATATTATTAAATAATGAACGTGCAAGGCTTTATTCCTATGGATAAAGTCTTAGAACCTTAGATAATGAAGATATTTTTAATTTTTAAAAAATCTATAGGGAAGTACAAATTAAAACAATGAGATACCACTACATACCTAGCAGAATAGCTAAAATCCAAAACACAATATCAAAACAAACTGGTGAGAATGTGGAGCAACAGGAACACTGTTGCTTTGCTAGTGGGAATGCAAAATGATACAGTCATGATGAAAGACAGTTTAGCAGGTTTTTACAAACCCAACTGTAGTCTAACTGGTATGATTCGGATTACATGATATTCTGAAAAAGGCAAAATTATAAAGACAGTAAAAAGATCAACAGTTGTCAGGAGTAAATGAGAAAAGTGGGAGAAAATGAATACAGCATAAGGGATTTCTAGGGAAGTGAAACTTACTAAACCTATTTTATATGATACTATAATGGTGGATACACAACATTATGTATTTGCATAATGCATTATGCATCTTGCATTGGTATGGTGCATTTGTTACAATTAAACCATTATTAATCTATTATTATTAACTAAAGTCCATAGTTTATATTAGGGTTAGCTCATTGTATTGTACAGTTCCATATTTTACATAATGCATAATGGATGTTATGATAACATAAGTAACATGTACTTTCTGCTCAATTTTTCTTATAAACCTAAAGCTGCTATAAAAAAGACAATTAATTTTTTTAAATCTATAGGTATTGAACTGCAATGAAAAGATTACAAAAATTCTTTAACAAAAAAATGCAAAATAAATATTTTTGTAGACATAAGTTGGCAAGAAGAAATCAAATATGGAAATTCCATCAGTTTATAGTAAAATACAAAAAGCATTAGAATCAAATGGTTTAAAAACAAAGAAAAGTAAAAAATGGATTCTTAATTTTCCTATTGACATGAAATTAATAGTGTAACTTTGTTTATATTCCATATTATAAACCAAAGAGAAAGTATCTATTAATTTAGCTTCCACTGAACTTCAAAATAAGGATTACTGCTTACAAAAATTTAATACATAAATATTTTTAAAAATCCTTTTTATACATTCCAATTTTAAAAAGATATCTGCTAGAAATGATCTCCCTAGGAAAAAAAGCATTGATTTCTGAACAGATACTGTAGGAAGCATATAGCATAATTCTAATATTGTTTCTTCTTAAATTATTTACATGGTTTTGACTTTTTAAAAAATATACTCATAGGTTTAAAAGGTTAAACCACTAAAGAAAGAACATTCAATATCAGGACCCCATGTACCCTTCTAAAAATTCTTGAAGATGCAAAAACTTTCAGTGTAAGAACGTTCTGTTCATAATCTTTTTCTCAAAAAGAGATTACAAAATTATTTAGAGATCTTGGTGTAGATATCACTCTTTAATGACCCAAGATACCAGGTATATGTCATCATCTAATCAAGTTTAAAATTTTCTGAAGATTTTAAGGTTCATTATTTAGGGATTCAAATCATTCTAAATATATGAAACTTTTTACAAAGGTTGTATTGCCACTGATCGTTATTTTAAGTAGATGATATTTCATGGTAGTTATAAAATTAGCAAGCATATTTCGTTATAGCTTTATAAAAGGAAAAATCTAAAATAAATTATAGTAAATATAGTGAAATATGTGTTATCTTTACAATATATAACAGATATTCTTCTTTGGTTATTTTTACCTTTTCTCTTGCCCTGGAATTTCCAAGCATGTAGAGTGAAAAGTTAATTTAGACTTTTCATGAAAGACTGCTCTTTTCTGAATATAGATGACTATACTGAATTCTAAGAAGGACTAATTTTTTTCCCATAAATATTACCCTAAAATAACGAATATCTACTAAAATGGAAATTTACTTTGAAATTTACATGTAAATGTAAAAATGTGTGTGTTGTATTTAACTATATTCTTTTTTTAACTATATTCTTAAGCTTTAGAAGAGTGTTTGAAAAAGCAATCTTCATTGGTTTAATTTTATTAATTAAGAAAGTGTGTACGTAAATGAAAAGAATGCATAAAATGAAAGCATACATCCCTATTCCTAATAACCCTTTTTAAATCAGTAATAATTCACATGCATTTAAAATCTGACCCACATGAGTTGCCAGTGTCCACTCACTATAAGGGATTCAAATCATTCTAAATGTTGATGGGAAATGATATGTGATTTTTTAATGTAGAAACTGAATGTTGATGAGAAATGATATGTGATTTTTTAATGTAGAAACTTTGCTCAATGCGATATCACAAACATAAGCCTCTTTAAATGGCACTATTCCTTTTTTATTTTTTATTTAGATTCTCTTAAATATAATGGTTTTATTACAATTGTTCTAATGTTATTAGTAGAATATTAATTAAACTATTAAAAAAATAAAACATAAACAAAAGATTAGATAATAAAAGCTTGAAATGAAGGTACTCCATATAAACACTAAATTAATTAATTTGGGTAGAAAGTTGACCAAAATCAGAAGGAATGAATGATAAGACTTCATGTGTAGTTGCCTACCTATAAAAACAAAGACCTGATATTAGTAATCCCATTTACTAGTAAATGGAAACAATTAATGACTTTACAAACTGACAAAAGCATCTATTGTTTCTTTCACAAAATTAAAAGCCAAATGTGAAGCAGGTTAATGTAAGTAGTTATATACTAACATAAATCTATGTGCAGAAAAGAGTTAACATAGCAGATCTGAGAATGCTTTAGTTAAAATGCTTTAGTAAAAATGCCTTCTTAAAAGTCTGGTTCTTGCCTGGCATCTGGAACTTGGAGTCTAAGAATGTCCTCATGATTCTCTAACTGACAGAAGTGTTCACTGTATCTAAATTGTTTGTATCTAAATAATGTGGTTTGTGTTGAACACCTGCTTTTCTTTTGGGAGTCTAGAATTTTGCCAATTCTTATTGTCTTCACTGAAGATCCTACCATCTTCAGTGAAGACAATAAGAATTTTGGCATGTACTAGGCAGTTACTGACCTCTGATAAAAATCCTGGACTTCTAGGCTCAAAATGAGCTTCCCTGGAAGACAACATTTCATGCATAATGTCTCAACTTACTGACAGAGAAATTAAGGGTGTCCTGTCTAACTCTGTTAGAGAGAGTTGGAGAGAAAGCTTGCACCTGGTTTCCTCTGGATTTCACCCTATGCACCTTTTCCCTTTGCTGATTCTGCTTTATATATTTTCACTATAATAAATCATAGCCATGAGCATGACTAAATGCTGACTGCTGTGAATCACTAAACTTGAAGATAGTTTTGAAAATCCCCAACACAACATATGAAATATTTAAAATTCTGAACTACAAAGAAAACTACCTATACCAGGACAATGGAAACTTAAAAAGAAAATTTTTCTTTGAAGTCCTAGGTATTAATATTTAATGATGAATAATCAGTCATTCCATGAATCATTATCAAAAACAAATAAAAATGAGTAAATAAAATGTTAGAGTCAGGGATTCCTGTGCACAGAAGGAATTCTTATTGCTCACGAGGCCAGCTGATCAGTGGATGATGGGAGAGATTTCTTGGCCACCGTGAATAATGCTGCAATGAACACAGGGGTGCTTATATCTGTAGGGATAAATATTTTCATATTTTGGGGGCAGATACCCAGGAGAGGGATTGCTGGGTCATATGTTAATTCTTGTGGTACAATACATTATTATTCAACTGTAAGAAAAGATGAAATACTACCATTTGAGACAACATAGATGGATCTTGAGATTATCGTGCTAAGCGAAAAAAGTCAGACAGAAAAAGCTGAAAACCACATGATTTCACTGAAGCGTGGGATATAAAACTGAAAGCAACAAAAAAAAGACAAAGACTCAGACACAGACAACAGCTTAGTCTATTACCAGAGGGAAAGCGGGGAAGGCAGAAAAGGGTAAAAGGGGTCAAATACACATGGACATAAAGAGATTTAACTTTGTGTGGTGACACACATGCAATATACAGATGATGTTTTACAGAATTGTACAGTTGAAACCTATACAATTTTATTAACCAGTGTTACCCCAATAAATTTAGTTTAAATATGGAAAATGAATATAGCAATGTGCTCTAGGAAAAATTAACAACTGAATGAATCCTACCATCTTCAGTGAAGACAATAAGATGTTATAAACTACTAATTAAATCTCTTATTTACCAAAAATTTTCATCTTATTCTCTAGTGGAACTTCAGAAAACATTGATAATAAGTCATTTATATGACAGAAAATGGGAAATTACTTACATGCATTTCAAAGATTAGTCAACAAATAGTATTAGTACTAGAATCTACTCAATAAACAAATGTACTTACACATATTTTGTAAAGAAAATTTATGGTTGTCAAGAAATATACTTATTTCCTTATTATATTCGACATGCAGCCTCACGGCAAGAGAGAAACACAAATAACACCGGCTTATCATCTTCTCTCATTCTTCAAAAAAGAGATAAAGATATTTTTGTTTAAATATACCTTAACTACTTCTTCAATGAAACAAATATGAGAAACAGGATCTCTCTTCTTGGCTAATACTTTTTGTAGATGTTGTACCTAAAAAGGGGAAGAGAGAGATAGTGTATATAATTCGGTACTTTTAAATGGAACAAGTGTAAAGCATAGGCACTAGAAACAGCAAAGAAAGAAAAATGGCATTTTGCCAGAGCCTTTCCATACATGATAATTAGCTAAATTAGTTATTTTAAATGCTCATAAATTTAAAGAAATCTGCCCAAGTTCACAAGGATAACAAGGATAATCCATAATTAATGTTTTCTTCACTCTCTAAAATATTTACCTGTCCACAAACAGTACAAATATGATCCACAAGTTTCTCCATATTGGTCCAAAGGGAAGCACGAAAAGCTGCAGTATTTCCTGGGGTTGGCATGGTAGATCGGCCAGGTCCCCCTGTTTATATGAGTGACAAATATAAAAAATAAAAATTTCCAATGATAACAAACTGTGTCTTATAAAAAACAGATACAGGCTAAAAAATCAGAAGTTCCTTCTTTAAGAAATAATTTATGAGTGATATGAAAAAGAATCAGCCTTCTGTGTTTAAGAAAGGGAAATAAGATTTCTCTTTCTCTCACGTAGGATGCATCACTCACTCACATACACACACACACACACACACACACACGCACAATTTGATGAACATGGTTTCCTAAAATGGGGAGAGGAAGTGAGTGGTAGAACAAACTACCAGGTGAAAGCAACAGGGACAGAAGTAGTGAGTCTTTGTGAGCCATACAAATGTTTTACATATTTCAAAATAAATTTAAAATTTAAAATAGTGAAAAAAGCAAACTCTAAAATTAAATACAAACAAATATAGAAACAAATAAAATAAACCGTATTTCAAATTGATAATGTAAAACCACACAGAAGAAAACAAATAATTTTAGTAATTTTTAATTACAGAACTCTGACTTCCGTAAGATATTTTAGGGGCAAAAAGAATTACAAAGAAATAGTGCACTTTGATTAACAGTTTTGTTGCTGGATGAAGTACTGATTTACTAATCTGAAACTAGTTTAGGTATATTTTAAAATAGAGCAAATGAAGGGTCTCACTATAAACAGCATAAAGATACAAATATGTAAAGGGGATTAGAGGTATTCCCCAACTCTGTTCACTAAAAGAATAGAGAGACAATGACTCAATAAAAATGAGTATAATTTTAATTCTATGCATCATTTCCCAGTAAATGAAACCAGGGCTTATTGGAAAAAAGCATGATTCCATCCATATCTGGAGCAGTGAACACAGAAGGTGAGCCTGATGCAAACTGTGCCAGAGAGCAAAGCAAGTGTTCAAAGATGAATGGAGATTTGTCAATGAACACAAGAACTTGACTGGAGTGGGCAGTCAATCAAAACACTGATTAAAAAAATATTTAATGGTCTACAGCCATGCTACCCTGAGCAAGCCCGATTCCATCTGATCAGGGAAGCTAAGCAGGGTTGGGTCTGGTTAGTACTTAGATGGAAGACCACCTAGGAAGACCAGGTGCTGTAGGTGTAAAAAAATAAAAAAATAAAAATGAGGGATTATAAACTGAGAAGGTCCTTGCAATCTGTGAGGTCAACCAAGGGTTGCCTCGCCTTAACAAAATATATAAAAAATTTTTAAAAAATAAAAAATAAACTAAAAAATAAAAACTAAAAAAATAATGAATTCATAGTGAAAAATCATGTTTAAAAAGTATGGGAATTGCTATTTAGAGAAAGGTTATCAGTTAATAAATGCAGACAGAATGACAGAATTAGAAAAAAATTTCACCATTTTTAAACTACTAGTAAAATAATTGAGGGAAAGATTATCATTGGATACTAAAACACTGGAAGAAATGTTACAAGAAACAGGATATTCACATGATCTCAAATGTGCACCACAAGTTACTAATTACAAAAAGAGAGTACTTTTACAAGAAGTAAGCCAGCATACACCATAGTAACAAAAGATATCATTTAGCATCAGCACTTATGAGACAGACTAACATAATTTTGGTGCTTCCTGATATAAAGTAATTGGGAATACACATCACCTTACCAGCTTGTTTACTCTGAATGTAATCATGTAGAAACAATCAGATAAATCCAGACAAATCCAAATTGTGGGGCCCTCTAAACATTTTAATGTCATGAAAGAAAAAAAGGCAGTGGGGTTGTTTTTGATTAAAAGAGAATAAAGACACAAGACAATCAATAGAAAAACATAATCTCTGATTGTTTCAAGCTGTTAAAATCCTTGAGAGTGGTGTCTAAGAATGTTATTGTAATACACACACACAGCTATTTGAACAAGTTTAAATGTTTCAACATAAAAAGAAGAAATTTTAATTTCAAAAGGAAAAGTATAAATCAAAATTAAATTTACAAACCAGGCAGTACAAGAGCCCATCAATAATTACATAGTCTATCCTGCTTTTTTTTTTTTTAAGGTGAGGCAACCCTTGGTTGATCTCACAGATTCCAAGAACCTTGTCATCTTACAATCCCTCATTTTTTTATATTTTATGCCTACAGCATCTGGTCTTCCTAGGTGGTCTCCTATCCAAGTACTAACCAGGCTCAACCCTGCTTAGCTTCCGAGATCAGACACGAACAAGTTTGTTTAGGGTGACATGGCCATAGACTACTCTGCTTTTTAGGAGGGTAACAATCAAGAAAACCAGAGGCTCTGTTTATAAACTGCTTTAGTTTACTTTTACAAAAGTTCTAAGTTTATAAAAGAATTACATGTACCTTTAGTAAGGAGATGCTATTATTTTTCACTCTGATAACTGAAGAGCAATAAAAAAGAGAAACACAGGAAAGAGATACTGGCTTTAAAAATATGAATTCCTGTTTCAAATCTAGATCTAATTAATTTTTAAAATTATTTGTAGTGTTGTGCAAAGACTATTAAGGAAAAGTATACAGGGAATAGAAAGGTAATACTGAAACAATCTTCAATTGTCTCATGTTACATAAAGAATGAATTTGCAATAATGAGGAAAGGCTATGTAGTGCCTTTGTGAAAATCAGCAATATTAATGAAATTCCTGGACTAGGCATAGCTTGGTTTTATTATAAAGAATTATGGGGCACATCAACCCATTACAATCTTAAACTAAATAGAAGCAGAAATACAAAATATTATTTTCTGCTCGCATTTACTTTAGAGAAACTGAGACACCGAAAAACAAGATTACAGTCACTGGTTCGACTAGGTTTAGAGGCTTCAGTTTTCTTACTTGTAGTTTAGTACTTAAAGATTTTTATTCTCATAAGCTAAATACATCTCACTGAAGATATAGACATGATAGAAATAATCAGTGGAAAATAGGACATTGGTATAAAGGGGAGAAAGAACAATTAAAACAGAAAAATAGACACCATTATCAGCTTTAGGATACTCATGAAACAAAATAGATAATGTCATAAACTAAGTTTTATTAGTTAGAAGAAACCAAGACTTCCTCTAAGAAACAATACTTAAGAGTGATTTCCAGTTAGTGATAGTGGAATAAAATCATTTTCCTACGCTCATCCCTTGAAAGTCAATGAAAATAAGAATAAAAAGGAGAGAAAAAAAAATGTTAACTTCAAAAAAAATAAAAAGGAATAAGCTAAAACCTCAAATGAGATTATAAAGCATGTACACCAAATGCTGTGGATAAAGCAAAATGTACAAGGTACCAGATAGCTGCCAACTAAGACAATCAGCAAGGAGCAAAACTGTTCTTAAAATCAATTTTAAGAATTTAGGCTAGCCAATGATTCTTTGCTTAGAGTTGAGATAGACATAAATGGTTCAGGAAAGAAGCTAGTAGAATGTTCAATGTTGCAGAGTAGCAAAGGAAAAAGAGCTGAAAGAAATCACAATAAAATGATATTGACATTATATAAGAATTAGCCACCAGCTTGGGGAGACTATTAGAGGGAAAATGAGGTGAAAGAGGAAAGAAAAGCAGAGAATGTAAGGTTTCCACACAGAAATTGCTTAAAGGCTTTACTGGGACTCACACTAAGTTCCAGACTGTTCCAAAATTTAAGGAAAGAAGTGTTTTGAAGGCAGAAGGAAATAAAAATTGGTGAATGCTTATACTAAATGATGGGGGATGGCGGGGAGAGACAGAAGAAACATTGCTAAGAGAGCCACTTAAAGTAGAGTCAGGAGGCTATTAAAAAAAGTGGGGCCTATATATATCTTGTGCCTAAGTTCTCAGAGCTGCTGTTAAAATGCTAAACCTGCTGCTAACCTCAGCTCAAGGCTAAGCTGTAAAAATCTGGAATAACAAGTGCTCCATGGACATATATGGACTTTACTTCCTTGTACTTTTCGCTTCCCAGTTGCACATTGGAACTAATCAATCCTGGATAACTTAGCCACCAATCCTTCATTTGTATGAGAGAATGTACATTTTGTGGTTTTTGCCTTTATAAACCCTACCTTTCTTCTCTCCAGAGCACAGTTTGGATTGCTACCTAAATCTGCATCTCTTGGATGTGAATCCTTTAAAACTCCAAATAAACTTTTGTTTTACAACCTCAAATCTTTATTGGTTAACACTAGACAACAAACCTAAATCAAAGTTATAGACTGTCCCAATTCTCTCCTACAACTATTCTCAGACTATTCTTCAAGGAACAAGTAGTTCCTTTCAAGATAAATAATAACCAGAAACAAAGCAATATGGGGCCTAACACTGATATGGGGAGAAGGGGTAGATAAGCAAAAAATAATAAACGTAGGTTATCAAAGGAATTTCCAAAGGAAATAACAGGAAGGGTTAGTTTTTCACTGTCTCAAAATAATTATGGGAAACATTCTCAGTGTGACACTAAACAGAGATTAAACAATAGAAACAATAAAACACTATAATGATCAAGGGTGAAAATACAATCAGATATAGGAAATAAGCAAGAGGTAATCATACAAAATTAAATAAAATAAGAAGATATAAAATATAGTTAAGGCAAAGATACTAAAAATAGAAAGCGAAGATGTGATATCTATATAAAGTTCCTAAAAAGAACAAATGGAAAAGAAAAATATTCAAATATACAATCAAGGTAAACTTTTCTATAAAAGAGAACATATTCTGACTCAGAAAAAAAATAGATATAGAGCATTCATTCTCAAAATATATCCTAAGAAATTACTGAATTTCAAAGATAAAAAACCAGTTAGACAGCAAAGAAAAACAAGTGAGCTATGTGGGGGTTCTGTAAAAATCTAATTAGCAATTACATTTCTGATTCCACAAGTAAGAAGTCTGGAAGCCAACATTCTGTCCCAACAACAAATAAAAAACCAAACAGACTGAAAAATCAATAACTCTTCTTGGACCCATGAGAGAGGACAATGGCAAACCACTGCCCTCCAAATTAGAAAGACCTACAAGCAAATATAAGGA